GGGGTGGTGGTGGGGCTTACAGTGCAGTATGCAGCAATAGCTTACAAGGCAACAGCGGCATTGACAGAGCAGAGGGAGAGCTGGGAAATTTTGCAGTTTAAATAAACCGCCAGATTGGATGGGTGCCCGTGGGTTAGTGATATGGAATAAGGCATGTCATGTGTATAATCAGCGCAGCTCGAGTTGACTGCCTGAACTAGCTTGCAGGCTTTGCTCCATTAATTAGAAGCTAGCCCAGTAAGAGATTGTATAAGAATGATTATTCTGTCCATATGTTTGACACTCCTCGCTGTTAATCTGACAATCTACAGTACAGACAGTTATGGAATAAATCAGAATGGGATCCGTGACACTATATCTCATAGTGCCTGATGTGCATTTGGGGGTCCTTGACACCAAAAAGGTTGAGAATCACTGCATTAGAAGATATTGTCTGAGTATTTATTTGCAATATTTAAGTGCAAAGATCTGACTAGATTTAGACTGTCGCAAATAAACACATTTTTCTGGATGTTTTCATAATTAACACTCCCCATAGGAAGGCACACTATGATAACGGGAATTCTTAGTGTTGGAGCTACGAACCACTATCATGTTTTATGGGAATGCCACAACATACAAAACAACTGGAAATAGGTACATGAGGCACTGCAAACCATCTTCAAAGCACATATACCACTAGATTTCAAAACCATTCCACCCCAGTATTGACAGATATTTAATGGGTATACTGCGGACCACAAATAACCTAAGCTACCATAAATAACTGGATCTGATGGAGATTTACATGATGGAAAAGGTTACATTTTCTTTGAACTTAAAGATGGATATCTTCATACAACACTGGGGTGCAATTTATCAAACCTCTGAGACCCCATTTATTATCAAAAATATTTAATTGAAGGAACATCTATTATTAATTTAAAAAAATAGATTAATTTTCAATCCAAATGAGAGCTAAGTTGATCGACAATATTTATGGTACAAGATATTTCCTTTCTCCTGTTTTCTTTTGTTTATTACTTTTACTCAAGTTTTCAGTCTCTTGCTGCTTATATACTCCTGTGTTTTTTATTTTGGATGTAATATTGCTTTTTGTTGAAAAAATAAATCCTTTATTCAATAGTCAAATCTTAAATATGTATATGTATAAATATGACAACACGCCACATTTCAGGAAAAGGTTTTCCAATGTATCTACTTGAATAAGTACAAACATTAGGTGCTGAGAGCTGCTCTGCTTCCCTTTTAGAATAATATTTTGTTTTGGAAAATGCAGCATAAATTTGAGACCCCTCAAATATAAGTGTTAGCGAAAAGGCCTCCACTCTGCACTGTCTCACCTTGAAGTGAACGTGAATGTGATCCCGAAGGACGTCCACGCGGAAGAACTTGCGAGCGCAGATCTCGCAGGTGTACTTCTTATCACCGTGAGTCAACAGATGCTTGTTCATGTTGCTCCGGCAAGAGAACACCTGTGCACACAAACACACGTACGCACGTCACTGATGAAGTAACACCCACGCTGCACTTTTTGCCCTGCAGGATTTACGTGCAGTTATTTGACCTGCTGCCATTGACTAAGTGCCATTAATCCTTACTGCAGTGTAGAGGTCTCACCTTGCCACAAATGGGACAGGGTGATGGCTCCTTCCTGTACTTGGTCCCTTCTTCTCCATTAGCCTCCAGCTCCTCTCTCTTCATGTGCTTTGGTCCTGTACATATGCATTGTGGTTCAAGTTCAGCAAAGAGCTTAAGGTCAAAGAGAAAAAAATATGGTGACACGAAATAGCTCTGTTTTTAGGAATCCAACCCAAGCCCAGGAAATTCAGTGTGAGTAATCTAAAATGTGAATGATGTATCTAAACACAAAGTGAATATTCACCACATGATATTTTCTCCTTCCCCCCCTAATTGAAGCCTTGCTCTCGGCCCGTGTGGGACTCACCCACACCGTGCCTCCTGTGGTGCTCCTGCATCACGTCTTTGCGGTAGAACATCTTGTTGCAGATTTCACAGGAATAGAGCTTCTCGCCATGCTTCTTCTTGTGCTTGGAAAGGTTGCTGTTGGTGGAGAAGAACCGCGAGCAGATATCGCACTGGAACGTCTTGTCGTCTGGAGAGAGGACGATGGAATGAGTGAAACCCAACAGGAGTACAAAAAGGGAGAAAAGGGAAAAAGCCAGGAGAGGACTTTTCAAACCTGTCCGGCAGTTGTGGAACTTTAAGGCATTTTCCAGGCGAAAGGATTTCTCACACGTGTTGCATTTATATTTGTACTCCTGGTCAGGCTGTTGGGAGAACATAAAAAGAAGACACAGAAACACGTTAATTAGCAGGGTAAGTTAAAACCCCAGTGGTAACAGTTTGGAGTGCTCCTTACCAAGTTCTTGCTGTGCTTGTAAGAGATGTGCTGCTTTAGACTCTCCTTGCGGCTGAACAACTTGTCACATTCATCACATTTGAACAGCTTATCACCTAGGAGAATATACAGGAAGGGATTTGTTAATGCTAAGCATCCACCGATTCCCAATTTAACTAGCTTCTGAACTCACTAATCTCCACATACCATGAGATCGGACATGTCTGTTAAGGTTGCTGCTGTTCTGGAAGACCTTGTTGCACAGGGAGCAGCGGTACACCCTCTTGTGCTCTCTGGTTTTGTGTCTCTTCAGGACAACCCCGCTGTCTGGAGTGCTCAGCAGGCTGCTGCGCTCTGCTGCTGCCGCCACCGCTGTCACCGCTGAGGCCACCGGCTCTGAGCTCTTCACTGAGGTCTTCACATCTGCCAACATCAGGAATCCAATGTCAATGAGAAATCTAGGGTAGATGCAGCAACGGGTGCTAATAAGGGTCCAACTGATACTGGAAATGAAGTGTGTCATTCTGAGGACTTATTTAAGGAACTGTCCACTAATTAATCCATTTTGGTCAAGTTTTTTTTTTTTTTTTCTGAGGTTTACTGAAGGACTCGCTCTCCTGTCGGGGAACTGGCAGGACTCTAACTCTCCCCTCACATATTCTCAAAGGCTGAAAGACTCCTAGTGCACCGTGCTTCAGAATCTGGTTGAATGAACTTGTCTCAGTTATTTAAGTGAAGAAACTGCGATTTTAACACAAATGGGAAGAATCTTCGGGGCTTTTGTTGCAATACCTGGACTGTATATCTGAGCACAGCTTTATATATGAATTGTTTTTATTATTGTTGTTGTTGTTGTTGTTGTTTCCTCTTTTGCCTTTGTTTTGTTCCTGGACTACTGATAGATTGCAGTTGATGATTTGACACTTGGATCCACTGATAGGCAGACGACCACCCACCTAGAGCCGAAGGGTCTGTCCTAGGTTTTTCCTTCTTAAATGGCAGTTTTTCCTTGCCCCTGTCGCCAAGTGCTTGTTCATGGTGGTACTGTTGGGTCTCTGTACAATATGCTATAAGGAGTTTGGTCTAGACCTGCTCTATTTGAAAACTGAGATAACTTCTGTTATGAATTGGTGCTATACAAATAAAATTGAAATTGAATTGATATGCATGCTTAAAAACCACTTATGATGCCTGTTTCTTATCTGAAGTTTAATAAAGTAAAAAAAAAAAGAAAAGTAACATCCCTTGGGCCACGCCCCTAACATGGCAAAAATAACAAAGATTAGATACTGTCATTCTGCACTACAGGAAGAACTATATTAAGTTTCATGAAGCTGCTCCATCTCCTGCCACCTCAGATAGATAATTGCAACATCCTTTTCCTCATTTCCTAGAATGCCATCTGACAACCTCTGCAGAATGTGCCTGAACCTGTTGTTCAGAGTTACATGTCACATAAAGACGGACAGTGGTGGTGTAGTGGCAAGAACTGTATGTGTTATGTTTTCTGCATGGGGCTGCACTGTGGAATAACTAGTATCTCTCTGATTGTATGATTGTTGGATGTCAGTACAGGATAGTGAGCCTCCAAAGAAGCTTGTGCTCTTTCGGTGACGGCCACAAATCCTGATTTTGATTTTTTTTTGCTCTTCACCTTTGTGTTTGCTGGCGGCAGCTGTAGCTCCAGGCCTGCGTCCCTTAGCTCTCCTCCCTCGGCCCTGACCTCTCTTGGGGCCCGGTTGAGCTGCGGGGGGGTCGACCTCTTCCTCGTCGGGGCCGACCAGGCTCTCCTCCTGGGGAAGGAGCGGGTCGACCGAAAGCACCGTTACAGTCTTCCCCTCGTCGAGATGACTCAGCATGTTGCCTGTGCACAACAGAGGAAAGTATGGGAATCAGAGCATGCCACCATGACACAGCATTTCCTCAGCTAAAGAGATGTTTTGAAGGGGTAAACAACCTGACTCCCACTCCTGCTGGAACTCACTGTGGAGAAAAGCAGTAGGAAACTACCACCGAATACAAAATAAATAAATACAACAAACCCAGACATGACCCCAAAGCTAGCCTCCATCTTAATGGAAGAAGAGAACATATCTAAAATGTACTGACTGGAGGTGATGGCTGCTTACCTGCATTGTTTTCTTCAGCCACTGGGGGCATGTGGGCTCCACTTTTCTCTGAGGACTCCGTTTTAGCAGATGAAGACGTCACATCTGAGTAAAAGAGAGAAAAACTACAAGATACCACTCCCACTGTTGCCATGGCACCCTAAAACCACATCGGTGCTGTAATGTCATCTACCTGCTGAGGGTGGTGGCTGAAGTGGAGACTTGAGCATGGGCTTCTCCATCTTCTTGGCATAGAAAGCTCCGTACCAGACCCGCAGCTCTGTTCCCGGCAGCACATCCTGGGAAACAAAGGAAGAACACACCAGTCTCCTATTAGAAAGGAATGAGCTGCGGGACTAAACGGATCCCTCCGAGAGGCCCAGGTCTGGGTTGGACACACGTACCTGGGAGGTGTTAAAGTACAGGTCATCGTCCTGCTGGTAAGCCGTCAGATTCTGGTGTTTGTGGTCGGTGGCAGGTCGCACCAGCATCATCCAGTTGCAGTCTTCCTCACTGCTGGAGTCAAAACACACCACCACGCCATCCCTCTGGAAGATCTGCCCATCGGAGGACCGAGGAAAACTATCAAATCCATCCATTTACAGCAACACAACATATTTGTGTCTTCTCAACATGTACAAGCTGTACCTTCAGGGGGAACGCTCCTTCCTTCTGCAGGTGGGGGACTCTCTTAGCCTCAAAGGGCCCAAACCGGGTCCTCTTGACCAGCCGGCGCAGGACAAACACTCCCTCCTCCCCGTCCGCCACCGGTCTGATCTCCAGGCTGCTTGGTAAAGACGACCTGATCCAGGACAGGGACAACATAGTATGAGTGCTATGAAATGGCAATAACACACAAATTATAACACATTATTACCTCAGACCTCCCCCAGCGTTCTGGGAACAATATAACTCCTTTATATTTACCAGGAAATTCAAAAATAAATGTAGACTGAGATTATGTTTTTCCCTCCTAGTTAAATTTTAGAAACTTAGAAACACTTTGAGCTGTCACTCACCGGGCCCGGCTGAGGACGAAGGAGTCCTGCACGGTTACCAGCGGCCCCAGCTCAGGACACTCAGAGTCATGGTACTGGCCACAGTCCTCACACCCTGCAAACACACACACACACACATCACATCACACCTGTCACCACAGCACTGTCACACACTTCCAGGACAGTGAGAGCTGGATTCATACTCACAGATAAACTCATCTGGCGCCTGCTCAGCCATTATGCCAACCTAGAAATAAAGGAGATCATGTCATCAGAAGGAAGGAAGGACAGGAGGAAGCTGACCAAGTCAAAAATGCATTTAAATGAAGGAACTACTTTTAAGAGTGGTAGAATGTGAGCCTGCATTCACATTTAACCCGGGATAGCTCAGATGTGTTGAATGCATCAGACCTCCTGTCTAAACACTAACAGTGGTGTGTTATGACAACATGAACTGGTTTTTTGGTGGAAGCGACACAGCTCAAACATGCACATTAACGAATACAGTCTGGGCAGGAGGTGGGATCCGGGATTTGAGTCGTTCCCAAACTCTAGCCGGGTTTTAACTCCGATCTGAGCGGCTCCTCTTCAGTACAATGTAACAAAGAACAGTCGGCATGGCGGATGGACCGGAGACGCGAACCACCAAACCGGAGTCGATGCTCTTCAACGGCAGGCAGTGAGCGGCGGAGGCGGCTCAAAGAAACCCGGAGCGAACCGGACCCACCGGCTGCACACTCACTACAAAACTGCGTCGCCATTTTGTAGAAACTCCATGTACGTTTGTGGGGAAACACGTTACCTTTTCTGCAGAAGACCCTTCATTTATCGGATCCTGACTCCGGGTTCCAATCCGCTCCAGAAACAGCGCAGGACCGGAAACTAAGCGCGCCAAGTGCATTATGGGAGCTGTAGGCTCGACAGAATTGACGCAAAACAACTCAATCAAGCATTAATTAGAGGTTGAAAAGATATGGAAAAGTACTTAAATGTCTAAATTCTCTCCTATTAATTAACACAGAACCTTATTTGGATATTATTCATCTCAGTAGTGGTATAAATGAGTCCCCAGGTCACCCAGCATATGTTACACATTTTACTATATAGCACACAGTGAATTCTTTACAGTAAAATCAATTATACAACCATGTAGAAATACTAGTATTATCAGCTGAATATGCTTTAAATAACAAAGGTTAAACTGTTCATTTAGACAAATGGCCTCTTTTATGGTGTTGTATATTTTACTGGATTATTACCACTGACGCTCTGACCTGTGAGCAGCATTGACACTTGCTGGTCGGCAGCAAGCTGATTTGAACTAATGTATAGTATTATAGTATTGTGTAGTAAAACCTGCAAAAACCTTCTTACAAAGCCATTTCAGTCTATAATTGATTACCTAAAAGACATATTTTTCAGTGCAAAATATTTCCAGTTTTTCATCTTAGTAAACATGTTTAAAAATGTGTTAACAGTGTCTGTTTCATGAAATGAGAGAGTAACACAGGTTGCAGCACCAGAAGTATGAAAACAGGTGGATTCCAGCTGCACTGCCACATTGTTTCCCATTTTAGGAAAAAATAAACTTCTGTGGACTACAGACTAATGAGTTTTTTACTGATTAATGCATTGTGTGTGAGGCTGATAATGTTCAAAAAAGAATCTGCAAAATAACTGTAGCTGTCAAATACATGTAGTGCAGTAAAAAGTGAAATTTCCCTCTGAAATGTATTTGAGTAGAAGTCGAAAGCGGCATTCAATGCAAATACTCAGTTGTAATAGTACAGTACAACTATCTCAGAACGTTACTTTAGTTTGTTTCTACTACAGACTGTGTAGTGATACTGTTGACCCTTCTTCAACAAAAGCCACTGTAAAATAAAAGAAGTGGAACAGAATTGGTAGAACGTGTACAGGTTTCTAAGTTGCAGGAGCACTGGGGAGAATTCACTACAGCCAGGAGACTCAACGCGGCAACGCAAGCTCAGTTATTCAATCAATATTTATTGTCCAAAATGAAATAACTGGATATGTATATTAGTTACAATCCCTGCAGGGAAATGACTGACACTCTGTAACAACAGTTAAGTCAGATTCTGTGCACAGAGCAGATGCAAATAAAAAAAACATAAGGAAGCAGTTTATTAATCACATACAGCCCTACTGCTTACTCAATGCATAACAGTAGCCAATGCCTGCAGGCTGCCATAAGCAAGGGCTCTGAAGCTGAGCATGATTAAAACAACCCGTTTTCCCCTCCGTTCCTCAGAGTTTAAAGGTGATTATGTCTGAATGGTAACAGAATTTTCTTTTTCTCAGCCCAAATCTGAATCTTTTTTTTAAAAGCAGACTAATCAGCGATGGTGGAGGAGAGCAGGTGATGAGAATGGATCTCTATGTACTGTTAATACCAAGACACAAAGACAACCCACATTGAATCTGCAGCAGAGTGTTGCCATAAACAGCAAGTGAGTGTTTTTAATTCTGATGGTCTAATAATGTAAACACTCAGTTAACAGATATGTTATGTGCATAGGCTTCTTGATAATAGACATTACTGATGGTGCAGGAACATGGCGGTACGCTCGTCTCTCAAAGCCAGTCCAACTGTTGCTACAGTCCTTCAGTCCTCTGGTGGACGCAGCCTCAGGAACCAAACGTCAAGTCAAGGAAGTCCACCCGTGACATCATCCTCAGACATAACTGTAAGGCAATCTGTTAGTTCTGTCTCTGTGCTGCATCAATCCTCTGAGCAGGTTCACTAAACAGTAGTTTACATGATGTACAGAAATGTCTTCAACAAGCTGCTTACAAAAACAAAAATACAATCATTAGCTGGATTTAAAAAAAAAAAAAAAAGCAGCCAAACTATGTGGTTGCCCCCAAAGGTGTTCACACTTCTTCTTGTTCATGTGTTCAAAGCTACATCTTTTAAAAACAATAAAACATCAAATAAAAGACTGAGGATTTCATTCAGGTGAAATGCAGGGTTGAAATGAGTGTAAAACAAATCTGATTAGTGCGCAATGTGACAAGTATGGCCGAGCGTAACGTCACAGTCCCTGGATAAAGGTTCATTCGCTTCCCTTTTGACACATTAACAACCCTGCTGATAACAGTAGTGTAAAAGAGCAATCTTTTAGGAAGACAAAGAAGAAAGTTGCATATCATCTGAAAACACAGCAGAGAGGAGTAAACATAAAACGCTCACATATAGCTAAAGTTTCTGTTAGCCACAGTGTCACTGCTTCTTTGTTTTCTTTGTGGAAGGGTGTGAACTCATGTTAATGGCCTGATAACACGGCCTCCGCACATGCCAAACATAAATTACTACCTCTGGTATCTTTCCGGATACATTTGTTTTACAGCTTTTATATGCACTTTGCATATAGCTGTTGCTCTAATCTTGCTTCATTGCTTGAATTTCTCCTAAGGGGGGTTAATAAAGGAACATCTTATCTTCATTTTGAATAAAATTACTTTTTTTAAATGAACTGATATAAACACCACATTTCATAGTATTAGTGTCAAAAAGTAGTCGTGTTACCATTTCCCCCGTTGTGCATCGAAAAGTTCATCTCCCTTTGTGAATGTTTGAACATGAATCTCAAGAGTAGCTCCTGTCATTGCACTTTAAATAAAGGTACTAAAATTGTGCAAATCATACAAATACCACTCTTCTCTTAATCTTTGGTCCTGCTGGTCCACCGTAGGAGACTTACGGTTTACAGCAGGGAGAGTTTACTCCTTATCCTCAGTGTCACTGAGGTAAAGAGTGATGGCCCACACCAGTCCTTTCTGTCCATAACAAGGCCACAAAAGCGATTTCAAATGTTGCATAAAATCAAATAATATGAAACATGCTAAATAATATCCTCTGAAATGCCATTAATCCAAGACAGGAGACCTTCATCCACACATGCATACACTTGCTTTTAGTGGAATATCTGCTTCTCAAAGGAAGCACGATACGGCAATTAAAGAGGATATTTTTCCATCTGCACAGCTTTCCCATTCACAAGCAGGAGCCCCATTATGCAGGTCGGGCGGGGGGTGTTAGCCAGGAAGTTTGCCAGTGCAACTTTGAGGTGAAGGTGGTGATGGTAGTTGTTGTAGGAGGGACTGAGGTGACAGAGGAGAGAGGGGTCACGCATGTGGCTCCCCCATGGAGGTAGAGCCGTTGGCTTTGCTCTTATTCTTGCTCTTGCGGTTGAGCATACGGCTAAGCGTGGCTGTTCGGCTCGCCCGCTCCACTGCAGCTGGAGACTCCAGGTAAACCAGGTCATTGTGCGACTGGCTCATCCCCGGGTCCTTGCGCTGGTGACGCCGCCGGAAGAAGAGCTTGGCACTCTTCTGAAGGAAGCTGCCTGTAGTGGAGAAACAAAGGACAGGAATTATTCACTGTGATACCTTGAGGTAAGGACTATGTCAAGATGATGCCACTTAAGGCAAAATAAAACTGCAGGCGTGTACAACATTCCTTCGAAGTATCTGAAGTAGCAGCATTGTGAAGACAGCTGAAGCAGAAGTGGCACAGAATCTGTGTTAGCTGGAAATTGTTGTTTATGGATTGTTAAAATCTGGCATGAAAAGGGAAAAAAAAATCCCCCGCCCCCGACTACTACTAGTATTTCCTCTGTGAAAGAGCTCTGTCGAGTTTTACTGATAATCAGACTTGGAAAAACTGTGTTTAATCTCCAGCTAACACATACTGGACTACCAACAGAGAGCAGCCACATAGTCAAACCTTACTGCAAGCATCATTCCTTCCTTTCAGCACACAAGGAGTGGCTAATATCTGTGGATTAGATTACGTTGACATAACACATTAGAAAAACTATGAAAACTAATTCATGACAGATGCAGAAAGTAACAGCAGTTTCCTCCTTACAGAATGCAATCATACAGGCTGGACAATGTACAATACAGATACAGTTTGATCTCCTTAGTGATATTTTACTCTGCCGTATCAGGTTTCTATGGTTGACCTTTTGATGCCCATATTTAGAACGAAATTATAGACTGAAATAGTAAGAATGGTCTTTGCCACCTGTAGGTCCAGTGGAGGGGATCCTCCACCAGTGTACCAAAGGTCCTAACATACAATACATGCAAATATATCTATCTAAAATATTCACAGTACATTGTCTATATTGTGCAGCCCCACAACACTTGTATACGTTCTAAAATATAGCAACTATATGATGGACTAATACCCAAATGATTTGACATGAGCTGAAAATGAATTGACATTGCAGAAACACTATGTTATCTACTCTACTGAGAGCTACTGTAGAAGACTACACATACTAGAGTACCAAGGATACTACAAGCAACTTGTGAAATAACTTACTCATCTGGACATAATGTGTGCTTAGCACTGCTTTCCTCTAAGGTGGCAGTGATGGTAGTTCAAAAAGGAAAGGTTGAAACAGTAGGAAGGAAAGAGAGAGAAGAACACAAAAACAGACGGCATCACTGAGGAGCAACAGATGGCCATGAAAACAGCCAAATGGAAAAAATCAAGTTCTGCCTTTAAGGCAATATGTTTTTGGAGGACTGAAAGTATGATTTATGGAGTTATACGCCGATAAACCAGCTATGTCCCCATGTTCGCATTAACTTGGCTTCAGGTAGTCAGTGAGTCCACTCTGTGACCTCTCACCTCTGCTCTTCTTGCAGCTCGCCTCAGACACACACATGGATAGCGACGTATGGTCTAGTTCCTCTCCGGTCTGGCTCTCCCAGTCCTCTGGAGGCCGGCCTATTCCACTGGGGCCTTCCTGGGGCTCCGATTCCTCTGGAGGGCTACTGGTCCCTGATGCTATCGCCATGGTCACATCCTGAGTAGAGCTGCCCTCTGACATGGAGGCGTCCATCGCTGCGGCGTAGCCCGCCATCAGAGCTAGCTCATCATCCTGAGACAAGGGTGTCTGGGGAATTTCACATTCCAGTTTTTAAAATGTATTTCTCGTAAAACAATATTTCCTTTGTCATCAAGAATGAGCAAATATTTGCACTGGCAGCTCTGAGGACCTGTGTTCACCTGTCTTCATGTAATTAGAGAAGGGCGATGGCAAACTGTTTTTCAACTGGAAGGCCCAGTTTTAATGGTCAGTAGATGAAGTCTACCGACATGACATGCATCATTCCATTAAAGATCTATTTCTTTCTTCTGTCATGATCAACAGGTCAGGAAACACATTGAAAACTGATTTCCAGAGCAGCCACTCCTGCATTTCCCACTCATTTAAAAACCCTGTATATTAAATAAGTAAAACTGTTCTACTAGAGTGAAATAGTAAATGTTTCTTTGGTACTGGAGCTCATCCTTACTTTAGCGATGCCAGAGATGATGATGGTACTCTTCTTCACTGGGGACTTGAGCTTCTGCTTGGCAGACTGGTGGAGTTGTCTGATGGCGGCCTCGGCCACCGGGTCCGTGCCATTGAGCATCAGCAGCTCGGTGTCAGAAGAGGACAGGGCCTTGCTGACTGTGGCCCCTAGCATAGACGCCTGCTCTGAAACACGGCGCTCTGACAGCTTGGGCTTGTTGGCCACCGCTTTCTGGGCAGGATCTGAGGGAGTACAAAGTTATGTTAATGGTCCACCACTGGGCCCTTTTCACAACAGACATTTTGACTTGTCATAGTAGGAAAAGCACAGCTCTTACTAATACGATTAATGATGGCTCTGTTGTATTTAAGTGTCCCAAGAACCCATTACAATGTCAGTGAGCCAGCATGCAAAGCACCAGGAGCCCAAAACCTAAATGGAGCTAAATGGAATTTAAATTTAATCACTAATGTTATTATTTTCACCTGTGCATCATGTCACAATGTCTTTGTTAAAAAGGTCTATCAACATCTAGAATGTCCTCCTGCTATCGTTTAACATTAGCCTATTTATGTCACACTTAGACACAGAGCTCTTTTTATCACTTGTGCCGTAGACAGACAAAACCGGACCCAACTGGGATAGCATCACAGTGTGGTCCATGAAATGGGTAGCAGCTGTTTCAGTGATATTTCATGCTGACTGTTGAGCAGTTTGAAGCGCTTTATTCTGCTACCTAAACCTGAAAGCACTATGCCCATTCAAAATGAATGGGAGGAGTGGTGTTTTTGCTGCAGCGCCTGATTTGTTGTGCTTGTGTTGGCACTTGTATTGGCTTGTTTCCAGTACAAGTGACTGCCCCATTGATCTGCTGCGTGATAAGAACTATAGTTTTCAAAACTTCCAGTTCTAGCATATACTCTTCTTTTGGAACAGTAACTCAAAAAAACCCCAAAAACTTCATTATCTCTTTGCAGCAGCTGTTTGGATTTTCAACTGCCGAGGCTCTTCTTGCATTGGCAGCACTAAAATAAATGAGCCTAAATGTACTGTGCAGCCTCACAGTTTGCGGTGCTATACCTATGTTGAGTCCAACAGGGAGTGGTCGGCCCGGCTTGCTCTTCACCGCGGTGATGGTGGTGACCACCGTGCCACAGGGCATGACTGTACGGTCCATCTCCACCCTCTTACTGGAGGCTGGGGTTGGAGGGTGCCAGGACCTCACCTCACTGGGCTCCAGGTAGGTAAACTGAAGCACAGAATTCAAAATGATTTATATTCTAACTTTGTGTACACAAAACATTAGATACATGGAAAGAATTAAACTATATCTAATGTCCTAATGTTAACTGGGATGATGGTCTTACGTCAGTAGTAAGTGATCCAGTCACTCCGTCTTTGGTCATGAGTGCAAATGTTTGCTGTCCTTTGGGTTGCTTCTTTACGAGATCAAAAGGCACTGACACCTGACCAAGTAAGGAATCTGAAAGAGAGAAAACACAGTTTAGTCTGGTAGTACCTAAACATGTGACAGTTACAACTAGTGAAAAAAATGACACAAACTCAGTCAGTCATATCCTTACTCTCTTGTGGTTGTCCATCATTCATCAACTGAATATTGAGCTCTTTTGAAAGTCCATTCAATTCACTGGTGGAAGAGAAAAGAACATGTATTACGGATGTTGATATGTTCCATTGAAACAATGAGAACAAACATGTTTGCAAAAAGCAGTGCTCTGTGGTAAAACTCACAAAATAAATGGCTGGTCCCAGGCAGGATTGGTTGTGTTCTTCAAAACAGAGGTGTTAAACCTCTGTGGAGGATCATCTAACTGCAGTACACACAGAGGATTGGTGCTGCCTACAAACACAGCAAGAAAACGGTTAAAACACACTGTGATCCAAGATCTATCTGCAAATTCATTTGAAAATCTATAAAAAAAACAAACAAACATGTTGCTGCAAGATACAATCTTGCTTTGGTCACTTCCACTGCTTCACTTTAATGTACTAAGGGAGATCAACGTGCATTGTATATATCAGGGGTTCTAAAACATATTATTCAAAAAGGTGCATCTGATTTTTATTCAAGAAGGTCCCGAAGGATTGGAGAAAACATTTTAACATTTAATCATAGTACTAGAGAAAATGAGACACATTCTGTATGTGCGATTAAGGAGCTGATAACAAATTCTCAGGTACACTAATGTGTGAACTCGCAACAACAACGCACATTGTCGCTCCAGCAGTTAACGTTGCCATGACAACAATGTCAATAAGAAGCCATATTAATACCACATTCATCTGGGGACAGGATCGCTGTAAATTAGGGCTGGACCCAAATATTTGGATATAGATATTAGATATTTGCACACACCTCCACCTCTGTATCTTACTGCACACACACCAGCTCGGTCCTGCCTTTCTGTTTCTCGCTCGCAGTATCATGCAGGGACAGACATCGATGACTTTCTTTGCCAAAGTTGCCAGAAATGAGTGCGATGACCCACAATTCTGTTTTCATCAACAGCAAGTGAGCAGTGCATGGAGGAGGCTAACATCAGTCTCTCTGTTTCTCTCCACCAGTTAATCGATGGCAGATGAAAGGCATGCTCAATACCCATTGAACGTTACACTTCATAACGTATTACTTTCATAACACGAGGTATGGACTGGGTCCAGATTGACTTGCCATTCGGTCCGGACTATGCATAGCTTAGAGGAGACTCACAAAGTACTGGTTGTGAGCTCTTCCTCACCACATGTGATGAAGCCCATTTCATGGAGCACTTAAACTGAACTTTATTAGCCACAAGCCAGGCTCCGTTGCTGTGAAAGCTCTGTGTCTTAATGAATACAACATCAGCAGGAGTCTTAAAGACCACTGCGTCCACTGCAGTGGCTCTGGATCTGGCTTCTAGGCCACAGGAAGTCTCACAAGTGAAGCTAAGTATAACTGTTCTTCACTTAAAGGAAGGAAAATAGATAGGCATGTGCTAAATGCTGTGCCGTGTCTCTGCTGTACAATATTGAGTGTTTGTGCAGAACACTTAAGAGGATGTCTGGAGTCCTGAAAACTGCTGACTCACAATTAAGAGAATGACTAAACACAGGAACTACCAAAACAAAGTTGTTGTGACGATGTTATGGTCATCACTGGACAATAATTTGAACAGCCTCTCATCAACTCAAAACATCATGTCAAATCAAAACATCAAAACGTTGTCATTTAGTGTCATGGCAGATAACACCGTGATGCTTTGTTTTCACTCTCACCATACAGGGAATCTCCCTTTTGTGCAGGTTCATAGCCAGGGTCTTTGCCAAATGTGGTTAGATTTTCCATTTGGTGAGTAAACCTCAGAAAGCTACCTGCCCCACTGGTGGGTGAATGTTTGAGAGTGTCTGCCCAGTTTCATTTGTGGGCACCGCGCATCTGTCCTCTCCTGTCTGTGGCGGAGTTTGACACAAACACACTACCATACGCGTTTTTACATGGGTCTAAAAAGAGCAGTGAAACCGACCATCTCGGCGCCCCTAGTTTCACAGCATTGTTACCGTATGGGACATCAGCTAATCTGCTAAACCATAAGTTGTTGCTGGACTGTGCAAAGAAGAGGGTGGTTGCTGATGAGTGAATAAAATGAACAAACATCTCATAGGTTTACAAATCCTTCAAATTCATTTTGATCCAAGTAGATTTTAAGGACCAGTGCGTCGAATTTAGTGGCATCTAGCGGTGTAGTTGCAGGTTAAAACATCCTTTCATCATGCTCCCCTTTGCTTGTAGGACAAAATGCTGTTGCCTTTAAACTTGTGAAAAACTTAAAAGGCCCTATGTAGAGCCAGTGTTTGGTTCGTCCATGTAGAAACATGCCTGTGGAATCCGTTGAAGAGGACCTGCCTCCTCTGTAGATAAAAACAGCTCATTCTAACGTGACAAAAACAAGATTCTCATTTTCTGCCAATAGATCCTCCTAAATGTAACACACTGGACCTTTAATAATAATAATAATAATAAATACTACAGTAGAATATTGAGATCAATATATTAATTTTTATCTTATTTAAGTTTGTATTCAACACCTTATTATCTCAATGAAATGTACTTAGGCCATTATTATTTTGGCAGGTAAAGAATATTCTTGGCCAGTGATTCACAAACTTAATTTGGGACACGGTTGAGGCCAACACACTGGGTGTAGTGATACTGATGTGGGTGTATTATTCAAATGCTGCCAACATTGTTCAGCCTTAACCAGTAAGATTACCACCTTTAACAGCCAACTGGCAAACAGATCTCCTCCTTGTTATCTGGAGAGTCTCCGGACAGGACACAGTATGTTGGCAAAATGAACAGGCCAGGCAGAAATAGTGCTCAAAATAGTAATGTTAATACCATATGATAAACTCAATGCTGATTAGCTATAACAGAATGTATGCTCCTTACTGTATGTTAATGTTTTAAAATGAAGTAATTTAAAAGTTAAATAAAGTCCCAGAATACAACACTGAATTAATGAGAAATATGATCACATCCTAATATTATGTGATTGTTGGAACTGATCAAATAAATGAAGGTGGAAAATTTCCCACCAGCATTACACTTGCCTGTAACAAACAGAACGAGCAGGCCACTTTATTGTAAGTTGATTTACCAATTGCAGCCTCTGTTCTTTACATCCTGGGCTGATAATGGTCCGGCACATAAGCTACCATAACACCACAACTTGCTGTCATTCACACTTCATTAGAACTCGTGGAACTATCCATTTCTATGGATATATGTGTCCAACCTGCAGCATCTTCCTCCTGATTCAGTGTGACCCGGATGTTCTTCACCAGCAGCTTCCAGTCGTGGGCACGGGGGGGTTTTGGGGGGGAAACCACATTGTTGTGGGCTTCCTATTGGAGAAACCATAGTAAATAAAAGACTTAACAACACTGATCTACTTGTGGCAATATTCCCGTAAGAATGTAAGCAAAGCACCCTATTTCCATTACTTTGAGAAGTAAGCCAGAATCACAAAACCTTTTCAGTGTGTAAAATTGTATGATTATACCTACAGTAGGCTTACTGTAAATGGTGTCAGAGTAAAAAACATTTACAGGGGAATACAACTACTGCTAGCTTCTCCACCTCAGAGGTATTTTAATGGATGTATTAATGGTCTGCGTGAGAAAGACAATATGACAATACTTTACACAAGGCCTGAGGGCTCTATGCAAAACAACCCTGCTGACAGAATGTAGTCCATGATTTGAATCAGATTTTCATTATCTTATTATCATTTCACCGTGGAGAATTTGCATTTTGGTTGGTCTTTCATGGTTACACAACCACCAACAAAAAAAACACTTTGCAGACGCACAAAAGAAATCAGAGCAGTTTAGAGTACCTGATAACTGATTTACAGCAGATAATCCTAATAATTAGAGACCTGGCTCGACCTGGGGGTCACAGATCCGGTCTTAACTGTTGGCCCTTATACTGATCTGCTTGATCCTTTAAAACCTTTAAAACACAGGGGATTTAGGTGTAGGGAGGAAAACCTCAGCTGGTGCTGTAACAACAAGCTAGTAAGTAAATGGATAACAAATGAATTCAGCTAACATTACCTGATTACTGCCTAGAATCTCTTTTTCGTCACAGAAATACCAAACCTTTGTAACCTTAGGAAATTTCAAAAGACCACTTTGCTCTGTAACCTGTAACCTTAGACCCGGTTATATTTTATGCTGTGATTATATTCAAAGAATTTCAACCACAGTTCACTAAAATGTGAACACATGATCAAATCAGAAACATATGAAATGATGTCATGTGATGGCTGGGTAGGGTGCATCAGTATAAACCTTTTTGTAAAGGCATATTAGCATAATAAAGTCTCTGTATTAGTGCAGGCTTTATTTAGGCATACGTTTACCATGATTACATGGTCAATTCACAAATCTTTTACATTTTGTGGAGACACATTAGCTTAGCAAGTTTAACATAGTAACAATTAGCCCATAGCCACTTGGGGGCAGCGGAAACAAGTTGTGAACACAACCCTGACATATCATCATCCTTTGAGTAAATATAGCAAACTTGTTTCATTCATCGTCATTCATTTGGAGTCGTGTCTGTGTCCACCTGATAAAAGTAAATCCAGTACTAACTCTTTTAATTGTTTTTGTCTCTACCAACTCCGGAGTTAAATATTTTTAGCTGTTAAATACTCGTTCACCAGTCTGTCTGCTGTTCGGTGCTGAGCAGGAAGTGTACATTGGCTTTTTAGAGCATTTTCACAACAATCTATCAGGGTTCTTCACTCTTTTAAGAAATCATTTTTCAAGTTTTTCAGCCATATAATTTACCGGTAGGCCTAGCATTGACTTTAACTCCAGTTTTATGCTCCTTTTTGTGCCTTGGGTTCATTACGGCGGCAAAAAGTATGCTGCAAGTCCGTTCCACTCCGCGTCTGGTGTGAACAGCTAGATTGACTGACATGGCCGAACTGAAAAAGGAGTGTTTAAAATGTTTTTCCGTTCCGCTTCACATCTGGTTCACCCATTTTGAAGTGTCGTACCGCGCAGCTGCCAACAGTTGATCATTCTTTGTAAGTTCATCAATACAAGCAACATTGTCGCATTGCCATTTGATAAATAGTTTATTGTATATTTACAATTATAGCCAGCATACTGCAGACAATAACCTGGCATGACCTGTAGATGATGTCATGCATTATGACTCCTCCACTGACCTTGACCTCTGAGGCCTGAGCAGGCCTGCAGCTCAGCAGCACCGAGGGACGCGTTGCACATAATAGCTGCCTCAGCTGCTCCGTTATGGCTGCTACACTGGGAGAGCTGGGATTGTCCTGACAGACAGAGATTATCATATTAGACAAATAACACACACCCTACTTTAAATGTTAAATGCTAAAGTTCAAATTTACACAACTTAAACGTGAAAATGATCACAGAACCACATTCCGTTTATTATAGCACAAAATCAACAGTCAATTTATTTTGTTTTGGTACATTGAAACATTTCTCCCTCTGTTGGTGTGTTAGCCTTTGTTTTGTCAGCGCTTATACAGACAGCAGGTACATCTCATTATCTGCGCTCTTAAAATTACCTGGGTGGAAGTAGGTGTCACCTGCAGCTCCCCTGTCTCCAGCTGAGACACTCCCCAGCTCAACTTGACCTTATCATTAGCTTCTTGCATCTGTAGATCAAGCTGAGGAACACAGAGAAAGGAAAAGCTTGATGCTTTATGACGCCGTGGTGATCGGAAATCCTAGAGTGCTAATAAGCTTCATTATTAGTAAATCTATAGTAATATTTATGATGTGAGAAAAATGAATAAGGAATGATTTTTGAGAGTAGATGGCCATGTGAGTGTGGAATTGGTGTTCTTAGGTGGTTGTGATCTTGGTTACCATTAGTTACATAAGAGTTTTCTTCATTTTCTTTGTTTTATGAAACTTAATTCTTTCTCTTTAATCACGTTATGTATACAGAGTCAGTCTATTAAAACCTTGACTGATGCAATAATGTGATACACTCTACAACAAACTTATGCAATGCCCCTCTAGTCAGTCTGACAAACAGGAAATAGGTTAATGGGAGAAGGTCAGAGAGGCGTACATTCACACCTAGGTCAACTGAGAGAAAATGTGAGAGAAAAGAAAAAGACAGGCACAGACTGGGCCATCCTGTCCCAGCATGCCTGGATTCCAGTGTAAGACTGAACAGCCGCCTCTGTGATGCCAAACAAAGGCCTTATCAGATAGCAATGAGGACGCTCAGTTGGATCCAGAAGAACAATACCACAGCCTGCATTGATATGACTTGGATCACTTCATACCAACAGCATTAACTGGGAGGATATGTTAACATAATAATGAAACTCCATCCACATGAACTGAAGAACAGGCATTGTTTGCCAAGTAGTAGTGTATTACATAAAAAGCTATTAACAAATTTCATGGTTCACATCACCTGACAAAAGTGCCTGTTGTAAAGACATACTTCAGTTATGTAAATGTAGGGCTTGCATTTCAAAGATGAATACTGAATTGGGATGTCACATGCGTGTCCCCCATCACATGCAACAGACCATGTGGTGCAGTAGTGTGTTAACAGACAAAGTCCACTCAGCAGCACACCGCAGTGTACCGGGTGTATTATTGTGTCCATATACTGTAAATGCCCAGGGCTGCTGTTCCACATATCCCAGCACTCATAACATGACCAGCCAGGACCTTTCTAGCATGGGTCTGAGTCAAAAGCTAACAAATGTTCCAGTGGCTGGATGGAGACGTTTGAAAGGGCTTTCTGACTATTCCAGGCTAAGCTGAAACAATTAGGCTAAAAAGGAGACAAGAGGCCTCCTTTATGTTACTGCAACAACAACTGATCCACAACCAAAACAAAACCGCCCTGACTCTAATCCTGACTTTTGAGTCTCTCACTCAGGTTGTATTTATGGCTCAACGAGCTCAGGCGGGTGACGACGAGCACCTTATTCCTTTAAAAATAGCCTTAATACAATTAGGTTAGCTTGTATAGCCACTCGTATCCATACATTGGTGAAGATTTAACACAGGGTGAAAGCCTACCACAGATTAATGCACACTGCCCATTACATATCCCAACACATCACCTTTGACTCTACTTTATCTGAATACAGCACCCAAGAAGGACGAGTCATGGTCTTTCCTAACAGGTAAGACTGTAAGTGAGCAAGGGGAATATTTCACTGAAAGATGAAGTCAGTCAGATTTGGGCGTGATGAATAAAATACATCATTGTAATTTCCAGGTAAGAACAAGAAGTCATTAAGAGTCATAACTGCAGAGTTACATCAATTCTGTTTGGGCCCCTGACAAATAGACAAAGTGAGCCAGTTTCACTGGAAACGAGCCTGACAGTGATTTTAATGAGGTCTTCGGGACATTTGCCAAGAACAGAAAGATATCCCAACCATTAATCTAAGACTCCTGCCAGAAGTGAGCCAATGCTGGGCAGCACATCGTGTCCAATAAAAGCTCCCATTAAACTAAACCACAATGACTTCCAAAGGATGTAACTCTGTTGTCAGACGCCTCAGTGTTAAAGGAACATTCACAAAAGAACAAATGAGTATTGTTTACTTCCAAGAAACTCACAACTGTAGTAGATACCCGGGGCCAACTATAGAGCATTTACCTGCAGCTCCAGTGGAGTTATACAGACTTTGTATTTACAAGGAAGTGCTGTAGCCATGGCTGTCGATACTGCACTGACAGAGAACTGAAGCTTCTCCCCAACCACACTGCAGGAAGCGGCCTGTTGGGAAGAGAAAGTGAGTCATTAGTGTAATATAAATCCACAGAGAATGTAAACCTGCGACAGCATTTGCATGCAACTCGCGTGTAGATATATCATGTCATTTGAAAATAAGCTCAAATCGGGAAGGAAACTATAGTGTATACTAAACTATAAGGTGCTGTATGTCTATCCATGTGTGACAAGAACTGAAAGGATTAATAGATAATACATTTACATTAAATTAGGGTGTTAGAGTATTAGCGTAGCGTCTTGCATACAAAACATGTGGCACAAAAAGAATGAAATAAAACCAGTGATATGTGTTTACAACACACTTTCTGAAAACTGAAAAAGCTAAATATTTGCATTTGGAGAAGTTAACACTGAACGGTGAAAAAGGAAGAACATCTGCACAAACATCCAAAGACATTATCAGCAGATTCAATCATCTGTGAGTATAATAAATAACCTTGACTGCAATGGAATGCATCTGTAACTAAACTGTACTGCAGTAAATTACCACACAACGGGTGGAAGTGTACTCTTTCCTAAAACATATGTATTCATTCTACTTTCAGTGTTGGGTGAGTGTGTTTGTGTCTAGCTGGATATCAGATCACTGTGAGGGGAAACCTTAACATAAACATAGGTGCTGGTGCATTCCTGTCTGCCTGCTCCTCCTCAGTGCTGAGCTTGACGGCTATGTAAGCTTCTTAGCACACACACACACACACAGCATGTGGGTAAAAATAAGCCTCTGTTCATTAAACGCCCTGCATTCAACAACAGAGCACCTGGTATTTTGGACCATATCATGATGATCACAAAGAAAGGGCTGAGTTTGCAGTGTGAGTGCTGCAAAGCCAACCAGGCCAGCAACACAGCAAGCAATTTGGCCCTATCTGACCTCTAAAATAAAAGGCCCTCTGGTCGCAGTTTGTTTTACACACAGTGTGCAGCAGGTTGGCACGTTATCCGTATAAATGATAAAAGAAGCACCATGCAAGTGCTTCATAGCCATCATGTTTTTGAAGCTGAAGAATCCATTCTTAGCAGATTAAGCAGATTAATTTGCCAAATCTAAATTAACGAGGGGAAATGTCTGTACCAAAGTTGGCGAGTTGATGAGTCAGAGCTTGTCTAGTACTGCAGGATTAAATGCAGCACTGGTTGTAGAGTAGCTCCCTCTGCACCGATATAAGGACGGGGAGATTGATTTGAGGGACAGCCTTTGTCAATAAAGTACATAAACAAGGAAATTAGAAATCTATAAATGTCTGCTGCTATAATCTTGATGGATGCTGAAGCTGCTATGGAAAACAAAATCTATTATTTTTCAGTGGTTGGGAGGAGGACACAAAACCAGCACTCAACAATAGTACACTTGATCTAACTATCTTCCAGGAAATTATATTCCTCGCTCAGTGGCAAGACACAAAACAGCTACAGACCTTCAGCTTAAAGGCAGTTTGGCCAAAATCACGTATTACTAAAAGGACTTTATGGTCAGTCTACCTTGTTTCTGGCAGACTTCTGAAAGCTGGACACTTGGCTGACCATGAGCTCTGTTGCCTCAAGATCATCCTCTCCAAATGTCAACAGAACAGGACCCTGAAGGAGGAGGAGAAGAAGAAGACAGAAACAAAACCTGTTTCACAACTCACAGAGCAGGAAGCTGAAGTTGACGCCAATGAATGAGCAATGATCTGGGATGCAATGGATTGCACTGGCAACACTATTGTATATGTTCTGACTTGATCATTCTGAAATACTACGCAGATGGTTTAGAAGTGGTGCCAGAAGGTGTTACACTGTTTGCTTTAGAAAGCAGCAGGAGTGGAGTGGGACTGTTGATGTCAACTGTCAAAATGTGTCTACTGTCACAGGATGAGTCTATAACAGGTCTATATGAGAGCACAGAGGTGACTCCAACCTATGACACGATGCACTTTGTTTATTGAAATCACCTGCCTTTCACAGAGTAGAGTGGTGGCTTGATGGTCATGAGACTTACCCCACGCTTCCTTGATTCGTCATTCAAAGCCCTGCACCAAGCTCCTCTCCACTGACTTTTCCAGCTATTCAGTGACAGCGCCCATCCCAGCAGAGAGGCGGCTTCCTCCTTCGCCGCATTGTCCTCTGCTGCTCTCTGCTTATTTCCTACACACTTATGTTGGAAATACTGCACGAAGTACAGTATTAAAGTGACCAGGGACGCGATGAAAAGTGTGACCATGCATAGCCACTGCGGATCCTCCGAACCAAAATATGAACCGGAACTTTCCAAGTCGGACATTCTTTGCAAATGAAAACGATGATCACAGCTTAACACACCTCCTCTGGGAAATTTCCTGGCAACCTCATAGCATGTATTTGGCGAAGGAGCGGCCAAATCAATGAAAGCAATCTCCTGCAACTGCTACCAGCACCGACCTCAACCCCCGAAACGAGCTGTGCTTATTGGTACCCATGTTGCAGTGCTCCGTAGCAGCTTTTAGAAGCCATACAGAGGTCTCAGATTACACCAACCGGTTACAGACCTACAGCATTGTCAAAGGACTAAAGGTAGCTTCTGGCTTTAAATAAACATGCAGAAAGCGCACTCTCCTGCTCTCAATGAATACGGTTGTTAGCTCAGTTAGCTAATCTTCGCCACGACTCGTTTAACTAGCTATTCTTCATTAGCTACAAACCGCCAAAGTTCCCCACATGGGAATTATTTCCAGAGTCTACGGTTCCGCTCCGCCAGACGATATCCAGATGCTGAAAAAGAGTCCCGGGAACACATCCTGAGCGCGATGGTACGGTCCCTGCCGCTGGACTCAGTTTGCAGTCTGACTGTAGAAAGTTGCCGTCTGGAAACGGATATGTGGCACAAACTGTAACTCCCACAATGCACCGCGGCAAAGGCGAGAGTTTGTTGTTGTCCGGTGCTCGTGCGGAATTACGCGTTTTTTCCTGACTGACACTTGACTGTGATGTTTACAGAGTTGTGCTTCTATCAACAGTACGAATGTGTGCTACACTAGATAACATCAGTCGAATTAACAGGACGTAGTTAATAAAAAACGACTCCAAAAGAGGTTTTTGAACTTCGCGACTTGCCGTAGGTTGTCCTCTTATCACCATTACCACATCTTCCTGTCCCATCTGTAGCAAACACTTAGCTAACGTTAGCTTTCGTCACGATGCCGCTGTGTTTACTCCTCACACATTACACCTGGAGGTAGGAATCCTCTGTGGAAGTAACTAGTATTGTTATATAGTGTAATACACTGTGATATAGGCCCCGCCCATCTACAGAGGTAAACAAAATATCTTCGTCACCTAAACGTGACCGAGCTGCCATACAGTAGCGTTAGCCATCGTCATCCTCCTCGAGTCGTCGCCTGTAGATGGAAATAACTCTACTTCGCAATGAATTGTCGCTCGGAGGTTCTTGAAGTAACAGTGGAGGCGAGGCAGGTGGAGGAAGCGATGTTAGCTTTGCTGCACACCATTTTACTGCATCGCAGCACCGGGAAATTTCACTACAAAAAGGAGGGCACCTACTCCATTGGTACCGTGGGGACACTAGACTTCGACTGCGACTTCATCGATTTCACCTTTGTCAGGGTGTCCTCGGAGGAGCTGGACAGAGTGATCAGGAAAGCTGTGTCTGAATTCAAGGTAAGTGGTGTTTTCAACTCGTGATTGTTGACTGTAATGCATAGGCAGGCCTATAATCTGACGATGTGATCATGTGCTTTGGTTACAGGACGCTTTAGGCAACTCTGGCAGCGATGGCATGGGGCAAATCTCCCTGGAGTTTTACCAGAAGAAGAAGTCTCGCTGGCCTTTCTCTGACGAGTGCATTCCCTGGGAGGTGTGGAGCATCAAGGTGAATGTGGTCAACCTCGCCAATGAGCAGGAGAGACAGATCTGTAGGGAGAAAGTGGGAGAGAAGCTGGGCGAGAAGGTGATCAACGTCGTTGAGGTCATAAACCGCCATGAATACCTGCCAAAGATGCCCACCCAGTCTGAAGTGGACAATGTTTTTGACACCAGTCTCAAAGATGTCCAGCCCTACCTTTACAAAATCGCATTCCAGATCACTGACTCTCTGGGCACCTCTGTGAGCACAACAATGAGAAGGCTGATTAAAGACACCCTGGCACTGTGAGGATGCTCCAAGACAGAGAGATCTGGATGGTTTTATCCATAACTGTATCTATAGTCATGCCTTGTAACTCTTTTTATGTTCAGAAACAGGATTTGTCAGCTCTGCTCCTGCTACAATGAAGCATTGTCACCTAATTGGTTGCTTTTTTGATGTCTCTGCTGTGGTTCTGGTATTGCTTGTACATTAACATTCTTGATTATGTGATGTTTATTTTAGAGATGTTTAGATTTTTGCAAGCGTTTTCTTTCCAAATTGTCTTCACCTTCCACCAGCTAGAAATACAACTTTAACACAGTAGCAAACATTATATATCAATTAGATTTTTTTTGAAAAGTTGTATAAATTATTGTAAATCTTTGACAATAAATATTGTTCATTGTAACTGATGGTAATTATAGTCAACAATCAAAGCGCTTTCAAACTGAAGATTTGTTCTGTAAGCCTGTCCTAACATTTGAGTCTGGATCATATAAAAAGATAAAAGCTATGGCTGAGTTTGGGAACAGATTTCCTCGTCTATGTGAACACTTCCTCTCTGCACACAGTTTCACGGGGAGTGTGACCTTACACATGGGTAGGACAGGATTTCCAGTCTTCCATTTTTTCCAAATTATGGCAAACACCTCCTAAGTTCACTCCCGAGTTTCCAGTGAGAAATGGCCTCTGTGGCCCACAGCTTGAAAAACATCCCCCTGGCTCAGGGTTGTCTGCCAACAGGATGACGCGTGTGTCCGTTTTCACATGCTTTAGTTCCTCAGGTAGATTCACCAACAAGCTTCTATTTGCCTCACCACTCACACTGATGAAACTGACAACTGGTTGTTAATTATCTGTGGTTTACCAGTGTGTAAAGGAAAGATTACGCAATGCTTTCATGTGTAACAAACTCATGTATATTTAATTAAAAACTTAAGGTCTTATTATAGTAGGTGAGTGATTATAGATTTGGGAATATGTTTGGAATTTAGTTTTGCCTTAAATTAGGAGCCTGTGAGATGGGTATAATTTCCTATCATGTAAATAATGCACATGGGCCCTCTTACAGGGGCGGAGACAAACATAAACACTCAAGGCTTAGCCCAAAAGTAGAGGGGTCCAGGGGTATGCTCACCCAGGGAGATTTTAACCCCATTTACGGCAGCTGTTACCACTATTCTTTAAGCAGCAAACAGCAGTGCTAATCTTGAAACCAGTTTTTGTTAAACTATGCTGGAGTTGAGTACACAGAATAAGTTAGACACCTACCAATGCACCTATGTATCAGCCATAACATTATGAGCACTGAGAGGTGAAGTGTATAACACTGATCATCTGGTTGTCATGGCACCTGTTAGTGGGTGGCATATGTTAGCAAGTGAACATTTTGTCCTCAAGTTGATGTGTTAGATGCAGGAAAAATGGGCAGCGTGAGGATCTGAGTGACTTTGACAAGGGCCAAATTGTGATGGTTAGACCACTGGGCAGAGCATCTCCAGAACTGCAGCTTTTGTGGGGTGTTCCAGGTCTGCAG